TTCTTTGCATTTGGGAGACCAAGGAACAGTTGTTTTGCTAAACCTGGGAAAGCAAGGGACCTGTCTCCGTGTTCTACTATCAGCCTAAGGACCAATTATGACTCTGTTTCACACAGCAATGAATATTGCTCTATTTAATGTCCCCAAAGTGCATCTAAAGATGTAAAGCATCACAGTGCCCAAGGGCATATCTGACACAGTACGGAATGTCATTGCGCCTCTTGCAGGCTCTTTTGGACTTAAATTCTCAACAATAACAATGTGTAAAAAAACTACCATATATGCACTTTTGAAAATACTGAAAAGTTGCTCTCAGGAATTGTCAGAAGTATGTTGTTCAAAACAGTTAATTCTTTCTTTAATTTCTGCAAAGCCCCACTTACCACTATACCAAAACAAAATGTAGAAAAGGGTGGTATAGGAATACAGTATTTCAAAAATAAAACTAGGAATAACATTTCTCAAATCCAATCAGAAAACAGAGTCTTTAAAACCGTAAAACACAATCCTACAACTCCACAGTTCCCAGAAATTCTCAGTCAGGATGGCCAGTGGGCATAGAGGTGGGGGATTCTGGGAGCTGAAGTCCAAATTCTCCAAACTCTGATTAACAAAGGCTAGGCACTCTAGCTGGCACAGACCAGCCTTCAGCACTTATGCAGACCTACATCCCGTATGGGATAAACAGCAGTGCAAAGAATGAGTAACTTCTCAAATGGATCACAACTCCCATCAGCCCTAAGCCACCACTGTTCGTAATAAGGGGTGGTTGCTGTTATAACCTGGCAATATCTGAAGGAGGGGAGATATGTTTCTCATTCCTCAGTGGAGCAGGCATTTACCATGTACAGAGTTCCATGTCATCTTCCAAAGTTGAAAACATACATATATTTATAGTTTGCTGGTCTCCTCACACTTCAAGCTGCTTTTACACAGTGCAAAATCCATCCTGCACGCCATTCTGTTCTGTGCAGAGCAGGTCCATGAGAGATGCCCACCCTATGACCAGCAGCAATGGCCGTTCTTCCACAGGTTGTTAACCTATCTGTCCCAAGCTGGCTGTATCTTACACATTTGCAAGTTCCACAGTGGGCCCTTTCTGCATCCCATTAATGATTTCACAGACTTCTTTAACACCCTGTTTTCCTTGTTTTTTTTTTCCTACCATGTTACAATCTTTCTTCACAGGAGTTTGAGGTGTTACAGCCCCTTGTTTGTTTTGTTTGACTTCCCCCCCCCATTTCCTCCAGCTTCTGTTATATTTTTTGAGACCAGAATAATACACAACATCCCGAGAATGGCTATGCCATAGATCTGCATAACTAACACCATGTATTTTTCCTTCAGTTCTTCTCCTAATGATCTCTAATTTGAAATGAAATGTACCTTGTTTTTTCATGGCCACTGCGTATTACAGATCAGCATTTTCAGGATCTCAAAATTCCTTTTTGGACTGCCAGCCCAAATCCTACCAGTGTATAAGCAAAACAGTTTTTGCCTTGTTCTGTTTTTCTCTGTAAGTGGTTTTATATTTTCTTTCTTACAACCTCATTTCTCATCTAATTGATCATTCTTTTTGAGAGAGAGAGAGAGAGAGAGAATGAGGGAGAGAGAAATTTTTTGGGAGCTGTTCCCAATCCCTTTCATTTTTAACCACCTTGAATAACTTGACGCTATCACCAAGTGCATTCTCCGTCAAGACATCTCCATACCGAGAAAGTCTACACCTGTTGAACCACTGCCTGGCACACCACTGTTTAAAGGACAAGAATCCTGCCACAAGTTGGGGGGCGAAACAGAATACTTCCATTTCTGCACCTATTAGATATTCTTCATCTTAAAAAGAAAGGCACGAAAGGATTCTTTATCGTCAAAAGTTTTATTCTGCCAAACCAACTCTTCTTCCTAAGCCCCTTTATGGGTAGGGGGCAGGGGCAGCAAGACTACAGCTCCTCCATTCTCCTTTCCTTATGGCTTCAACCACCACGTTAAAGTCCTCTCCTCCTCCCTGTCACTGCGATCCAGCTCTGCAATTTAATTTCGTTTTGGCTCCAGATGACTTTTTTCCCGAAAGCCAAAAAACTTGAGGGGAGAAAAAAACCAAGAGAATAGAAGGTTGGTCCAGCAAAAGTTGGCAGAAGTGAGACTGAGAGGGATGGCCTGGGATGTACTGTAAGGAAACAGGCTCCCCTCTGCTTCTCCTAACCTGGCTTTGCTGCCTTAAGTTTCCATCCAAGAAAGAAAAGAAGTGGAGGGGGGGGATGAAAAGGGTGGGGAGACAAAATTGCCAGGTTGTGGCTCTCTCTTTTCCTTTGTACAGCTGGGTGGAGGGAGACAGTTTTCTAGGAGTTGCCTGGCCAATAGGATTCAGTTTCCCAAAATCAATGACCACAAAATTGTGAAAAATTGAGGGTAGCTGGTGCCGGAACTTGGAAACGTTACTGTTTTGGACTACAACCCCCATGATCTTGCTGGCTGCAGGATGCCGGGAGCTGCAGTCTGAAAGAATAGCTTTGCCTGGCCTCGCAACAATACCTTCAATGTGTCTCTGTTCCAATCCAGCTGAAATTAGTCACAATTAATGACAGGCCAGAGACCTCAGCAGCAATCATCTGCCCCACATCCCTGCATCATTTTCCTTATTGGTGGTCTTCTGGACAGCAGCCAGAGTCCAAAACCCAAGAACAGTCACTGACCATCCCCACAGAAATATCCATCCAGACCCTCCAAAATCAATATATTTCCCAAACGAAAACTGAATATTTTTATTAAACCAAGAGTGTCTTCAAATAGAACAACACAGCTCTCCTAGTTGTCCCGGCAATAAGGGGGCCAGATCCACTCTAGTTCCCCCATAATACAGGCACTGCTTTGCACCACTGCCATCTATGGTCCATGAAGTTTAAGGCATCGGCAAGAGCAGACGCAGCGACCCCATTATCAGCCACGTCCCCATAAACTCAGCAGACTGCTCTACACCCCATACATTCACACTGCACTGTCTCTGTTAACGTCATCTACCAGACAGCGTTATTTGTGAGAATAAAAGAAATAAAAAGAAGAAATATAATGATCTTCTCGGGTTCCATGGAAGAAAGCCAAGGAGAAAAAAAATAATAATAAATGAAATCCAGTAAATACTACAGAGCCACAAAACCCTGCCACTTTTCATATCTGCATGCAGCCCAAAGCGATAGATATCGCTTCAGTCTTTCCGTCTCTCACAACCAATGTTTTGAGCCCCCCCCCCAAAAAAAAAGGATCCTGCAAAATAGGCCTTGTGGTTTTTCTGGAACAAATGGGAACAACTATTGGGTAGCTTAAAAAAATTACTTTTTTACATATCATGTAAAAGAGAGGAATATACATATTTCACCTCAGAACATACGTCTTCCCATAAAGTCTATCCTTTTTTCCCTCTGCCCTACCTCAGCATGGGGAAACGCTCCACAACATTCACAGACATTCAAATCCACGTCCTGAACTGGCAACGCCTTAAGGACCCCAATATATATATATATTTAATGGCACCCTATTTCCTTTTTCCATTGCAAATGACCATGGAGCCATTCTGCTTCCTGAAAGGATGGACCGGGAACTTACCCTCTGGAGGGGCCCCCATCCTGACTCTCCCCAATTCTCCGTGCTCTCGGTCCCAAAGCAACAGCTGGTAGCAGCTCAGCCCTGAGTCGGATGGTGGAGGGGAGAAAGTAGAGGGGGGGAAATGGGGCAGGTGCCAGGGAGGACTTAGCTGTGCTGTTCTCCCCTCTGTTGCTGTCTCTCTCACATTCCCTCACTTACTAGTTCTCCATCCTTGCCTGTCACACTCACTAATTCATAGCACCTCCCTCTAGCTAACTCTGATCAACCTAATCTACGTTTCCTCTACTCATATATGAATTGTCTATTCACGATCTGTAGCCTTCTCCTTTTCTTTTCATCTATCAATATACAAACAACCCAGAAGGTAATTATGTGGACTATTTTAAAGATTTAATTTTCTCCTTTTTCTGTTCTACACATCACTCATTCCCTCGTCCACCTCCAAATACTTCTTTCCTTCCTTGTCATGAAAATTCATCCTCTTGCCTCCATTCTATGTGTTTACTCAGGAGTAAGCATAGCTGAGCTCGGAAAGGAAATACCACCAACTGAGTGCAAGAAAAGCTGTCCCGAGGACTTAAAGACTGCCAGATTTATTGTGGCTTATGCCGCAAATAAATCGGTTAGTCTTTAAAGAGCCGCAGAAGATTTTGGTGTTTCTTTGATTGTTGCTTTTTTTCATGAAAAAAAAAAATTCAAGCTGCTACTTGTCTGGAACTTTTCCCAAATGAAGTGTGTACTATTCAGGAAAGGCACATTAAGACAAATCACTTCACAGTTTGTGTCACTTACAGTGTCAACTATGGCTAAATAATTCTATTGAATATTACTCTTCTTCCAAGCAATGGTCTAATTTCAACAATATTCAACATCTAATATACATTGTCCTCTAGTCTGTTATTGTTCTGAGAGTTTCCAAAATTAAAAAGTCAATTTCCCCATAACATAATGCATACTATAGTTGCACAAACAAGAAATTGTATTCAGGGTGTACTTGAAGCGCAACTAAATGTTATCCTATCCACACCCTATTAAGAGGGAAATCTCATTTTGAGGCAGGTTGGGTGAAAATCTGATGGGAAAAACAATGACACTGAGAGCTGGTGGCTTGCTCCGTTCATTAACAACCAAGGATGGGTTTGCATGCACCAAATTAGTCTATTAGTCCACACCAATTTTCCTCCTAAGCGCCTTCTTCGCATACTTTGTGTGCTAACCTTTTTACAATTCATTCACTCTTTTCAAATTTTCTTTCCCTCTGAGTTTTTCCTCAGTTCTGCTTAAGTTTCACTGTTCTCACGCTATCCTCCTGCCATAGTCATTCTCCATTTTACACTGATTTTTCTCTCTTCCCCCACCCCACCCCTCCACCAATTGCACACATCCCTGTAACTCACCCTTTCCCCCTTTCTCTTTTTCTCCGGCTTTTTCCTTCATGCTGCTGCCGCTGCCGCCTCCGGTCCAGAAGAACCCAAAGCTGGAAAGGGGGCCGTTGCTGGTGGAAGATGGATTTAGGCCTGGAAAATTCCTGGCAAGGGAACGTCAAACATCAGAGGGGAAGGGAGTGGGGGGAAAGAACTCCAGAAACGCACATGTTCAAGTTAACCCTTTGCTTCTAAACAGCTGGTTCTGCCTCAAGGCATCTCACCGTCCCCCAGCTATGGGGATACTGCAGTGGGTGAATTTGCAGAGTTGCTTTCCCCATACAGTGTCCCAACCAGGCATAACGTTTATTTCTTACGTGCCGCCCTGGCACATTCCTGACCACTCCACGCCCTGACAGCTGCCACAGCTGCACCTCTGGAACTTTTCCAAAATGTCATTGGGGGGAGTGGAGTTCGTCTATTCCCAGAGAACGACATGGCACACATATGGGCAATGGGTGCCAAATGTTCTACTAAACCGGGGGGGGGGATGTTTCTCAGTAGCAGATCTTCATCCAGGGACCCCCAAAGTGTTCTCCAGGCAGCAAAGGAATCTGAAGTTTCTATCATAAGACACCCGGATTACTGCAGCGGGACAGTTTATACTCAGTGCAACAGAAACAAAGAAAACCAGTCTCTAAGATGAGCATCAGTTATTTTCTTTCCACACATAATGCTGAATCTTGGTAGTTTATGCATTAAAACCTGGAGAACTTTGGTTCCTTATTTGTGTATGTACCGTATATTGTTTTGCTGTTGCTGTAATTAGAGAAGAAAGATGGGGACATCTGGAATGAGAGAACAGAGCTAGCCGCTTCTGACATCTTTAGATTTTTCAACCCCTTATTACATGAAGTCTTACCCACAGGCCTGCCATTAGCAAAAGCTGACCCCCTCTTTAACAAAATTGCCTTCCATGTTCATAAAGTCTAGGCACATGCTAGTTTTAAACAAACAAATGCTTAGCTTTTCAAGATTCCCAAGATTCCATACTAAAGAATGGCATTCGATGTCTTGGCAAGATGGGCATAATCATGCAGATGGACAGCTTTCCTGGGCTGTGTCACCAGTGACACCAGCAGGCAAATGTTTGGATCTTTGCAGTGCCTCTTCTGACCCACTTCTGGCTGCCATGATCTCTGAGGGATACACTGAGGTATTCAGAAGAAAGCTGTGTGCAGCCCCCATGTTGTCCCCATGGAGAGGATCTGAGGGAGAAAGAAGAGGATATGATTTTGGCTTCCTTCATTCTGTGTCTTCTCCCTAGCCAAGTACTGTATATAAATATCCCCCATATCCGACTCCCACACCCGTCGCCTGGCTCAGCCTCTGGGGGCAAGAATTCACGAACAGTCTATTTTAAGGACAGATCTGATTTCAAGATCTAGAGCGGCCATTTTGAGAGCATGAACTACTAGGAAGATGTGTTTGTTTTAAGATGAAGAATAAAACAACAAGATCTTTATTTCATTTGTACTTTTATGTTTTTGGAGAGGGGAGTAAGAATTCTGAGAAACTGGGTGGCATTACTAGAGCCAAGAGTTTGCCTACAACTCAGATGGAGGAAATGAAGAAAGGAGCCAACAGCTTGTGATCAGCCACATGGACTGGCTTCAATTTCAGCAAGAGATTGTACACAAGATACATATGTGTGTGTATGTGTGTGTGTATTAAGGTCACAGATCTTTTAGTACTAGAAGTTCTGTAACCTCGATATAGCTGGTAGAAATATCACTTTCTTGGGGGCTTTCCAAGATGGGCTGCTATGTTATTTTACGCTTCATGCTTTTGGGATGAGTTGTGTTGCTGCCACAGAGTGTGTTCTGCTTGGTACAGAGGTTGGCATTCAAGATGGAAACTGCTAGTCTCTCTCAACACTATCTGCCAAAACTCTGCAGCCATTGTGTGAGGCCTCTGACAATTTAAGTGCAAAACACAGTATTATTTCATAGATTCTCTGGTAGTATTTAAAATAAAGATGAACTATTATTATTCTTGAGGCATCCAGAGGTATGCAATACTGGTTAAATCATTATCATGAATTTTAAGAAAACAGCCTTGTGATTTTGATGTGTAATATCCTTATATAATTTTTGCTTTCAGCTTGTTATTGCTGTTGTTACATGCTGTCAGGTTGCCTGAGTTATGGTGACCCTACGAATGATTGATCTCTAAAATGTCCTATCCTCAACAGGTTTGCTTTGCACTTGTAAACTCAGCCCTGTGTATTCCTTTAGGGAGTCAATCCACCTCGTATTTGGTCTTCCTCTTTTCCTGCTGCATTCATCCTTTTCCACCATAATGGTCTTTTCCAGAGAATCCTGTGTTTTTATGATGTGCCCAAAGTAGGACAGTCTCAGTTTCATCATTTTTGCCTCCAGAGAGAGTTCAGGCTTGATTTGCTCTAATTTTGTTCATTTTCTAGTGGCCCATGATATATGCAAAGCACTGTATTTCAAACAATTTTTGTCCCTTTTCAGCTTTCTCTACTGTCCAGCGTTCACACCCATACATAATGACTGAGAAAACAATAAGAGTGGATTATCTTGATCTTGGAGTCCAGTGACACTTGATGATATTTTCTAATTCCTTCATTGCTGCCTTCCAAATCTTAGTCTACTGATTTCTTTGTTGCACTCTCCCTTTGAACTGATGATTGAACCAAGGTGTATAAAGTCTTTGACAATTTCAGTTTCTTCCCTGATTTCTTTGTTGCAGTCTCCTTTTGAATTGATGATTGAACCAAGGTATATAAAGTCTTTGACAATTTCAGTTTCTTCATTGATGGCATTAAAATTGTATAGTTCATCTGTAGTCTTGATTTTTGTCTTCAAGTTCAACTGCAATCCTGCTTTGACACTTTCTTCTTTCACTTTCATTAAGAGTTGTTTCAAGTCACTGCTGCTTTCTGGCAGTAAGACTGTATCATCTGAATACCTTAAACAATTTATGTCTTCTACCAGCTTGTTACAGAGGTCAGCTTGTTATAGAGGTTTAACACAACCAGGGCTTGCAGGCACAAAAACATAGGACATTTTAATTAGCAGGAATTATGACATCATCTCCTCCCCAGCATTCCTTTTTCTATAGAGGAATGGGGCAGATACCGTACTTTCTGGAACAAAATACTTTGTTGTTATGCAAACTATGTTTGGGATAGCTTGGTCTTGAGAATGCAGCTAACACCATTAGCTTTACAAAAGATCTGCTCTTGGTAGGGTGAAAATTGCTTGCACTGTTTTATTGTTGTTATTTTTTAAATGGATCAACATAAGTGCCTGATTTTTAGAATTTCCCTTTGGAGATGAGTATGGGGATTCTGATCGTGAGTGCTCATACATCAGAATTAACCACTGTATCCCTGCTTACACGCTTAACTTTTATTGCAGTTTGAAAGCTTTCATGAGTCAGAATGGAGTCCCACAGTTCTGCTTTATGTTGCTTGCTAGTGCTTGCTAGAGTGGGCTGCTAGTTCATACGAATCTGTTTGTAGCTTACCTGCCACTTGCTTTGGTTATACCTATCAGAAGATTCAGATTCCCAGTATATGATTCCTTCCCCCATTATTTACAGAAATGAGCCCTGAAGGATATTCTTTGCCTTGTGATGACTTTGTCACCCTATACAAGGTCTTGGTAGTCATACACACTATCAGTTACATTGTTGTTGTACAATATCTACTACAGGTTTCTGGATTCTTTGCAAGTGGAAACGTTGATTGTGACACAACAAACCTCAATAACTACCTGATCGAAATAAATCATACAATCAGATTGCTCCAGGTTGACTCATAAAAACCCCACTCAGTGTGATCAAAAGCCTGTGAATTCACCATTCTGCTCTTCTTAAACACTGGGCAACAAAATGCTTCTGGGAAACCCACATATGAAGGCAGCAGACCCTGACTTCTGTTGTGACTCCCTGGAAAATAATATTCAATGGGATACTGTCCCTAAACATGAACGTTCCAATGCTGGCAACATGGCTAACAGCCATTAATAGATATGTTATCCATTAGTTTGTTTTGAATCTTAGTAGCCCACTGTAATCTAGTTTGTAAGCCACACTGCATAGACAAATGCGTATTTACTTTAGTTTGCTGTTGTTACTGTAGGAGAGTAAGCACACAGTAGTACTGGAGCAACATTAACTTGCAGATTCAGTTCTTTGACACTCAGCATGATTACCAGAGGACACTTTTATTTTGTAAAGGAATCACCCTTCTTTCTGAGAAAATAAGAAAGCTTGTGTTTATTGGAAAAATGAACTTGGGATAGGAAAGGTCATAGAAGTCCTGGTTGTAGCTGACTAAATTGGAGACATCATACAATACATATAATTAGAAATAAATGCAACACTCAAAGAGATGGTCTTGTTTTGCCAAATCAGTGGACCGCAGCTTTGGCCTCTATAATTTCTTTCTCTCAGTATCTTTAAATTATGACTTCTGCAGCAAAAAACTATGTTCTGTATGTACACGATGGTACAACAATTAGTCACCAAAGGCTAGACTATGTCAGCTAACGGCTGGATTTGCAGGATTTGCCCGGCATCTCTTAAATATTTGATCTAGTTACATCCAGTTGTAATTCCATGTTACAGGATTATTCAGGCTAATTTTCTTGTGGAAAAACCTTTGAATTTTACACATATGCTTCTGGATTATCTGCTTACAGTTTTGAAACTAGCTGCTGGTCAACAAAAAAAGAATTCTCTCTGTGCACTTTCAAAGACTAGAAAAGACTTGGTTTTTCAGCACAGGAATGATAAAATCTCGCCTTCTACAACTGAAAGGCATTAGAAATTGTAGAAAAGAAATGTGCAGACAGGAGGGAAGAAAGGAGAGAGAAAAAAATCTGAGACAAAATTCTAGAGAAAGCCCAGTTCCAAAACCATGCATAGAGAATTGAAAGTTTGCCTGGGTTTATATCTCAGCTCTACTTGAGTGCATGTGAATTGAGACAAACAATTGTTTCTCAGCCTTAGTTTCTAATCTATGAAATGGGGCTAATCACAGGCTATAACTTATAAAATGATGATCAGTTTTGGGAAACAGCTGTGTGCTAGTTTTGGCATTCTGCCTTGCTGTATTTACCAGAAGTTTAAATACTATGCTCCATAAATCTGAAGAAGTCAGCTTTGTCTATTCATGCCAAAAAAAATTGTTATTCTCAAAGGTGTCACAAAATCCTTAGTTGTTTTTATTTATTTATTTGATTTATACCCCGCCTATCTGGACTACCAGATTGATGCAAAAGACTAACATGGCAATCTCCTGGAAGGAGATAAGGAAAAACACAGAATCCTGTGGCATGTAAGAATTAAAAGTTTCAAGGGCCAGAAACCATTCTGTTTGATGCAAAGTATTTAAGA